AGCACACAGGCGTCTCATGAAGATGTTGCAGCAAACGTCCTTAACTTGGCGCAAAACCGACCCGACATCTTCGGTTCCTCCGATTCCGAAGTATCAAACGCCATCAATGCAGAGTTGATGAAAAGACGACCAGTTGTTGCGCCCGCAAGCGCGCCGAAGTCGTCCATCACGCCTCCGCTGATGGCTGCTGCGCCTGTTCCGACCCGAGCACCCCCGCCACCGCCGAAGGTTGTGCCACCACCGCCGCCTGTACCCGAGCAACCCGAGCAGAAAGATGGCAAACGAGCCGCAGCTGAGCCAGAAGAAGAGGTTGAACCCGAGGCAAAGAAACTGAAGATTGGTGAAGTCGAGTTGGACGATGAATCTGACTTTTTGGAGGCGAACCCAGGTGCGGCAACCATCAAGGTTGTGTGCCCACAAGTGGACGGCGACGGCAAGTTGACCGGACAAACGCTCGAGATCAAGGTCGGCTCTCTAGCTGAAAAGATAGTTGATCTCAAGAGATTGATCAAGCCGCTCGCGGGAGACTTGGCGCAGAACAAGCAAAAACTCAGCACTCCGGATTTGGGTTTCCTTAAGGACACCGCGAGTTTAGCGTACTACAACCTGAAGGACAAGGCGGTTATCAATCTGTCGATCAAGGCTCGAGGGAAGAGATAGAGTAGCTTAGGAAGTAGAATTTCTGTACAACAAAAGAAACATCATCGAGGAGTTGCTAGAAGCACGCGCCCGCTTTACCACGATTCTCAAACTGCGGTAAGCACGGTCTGGGAACACTTTGAAATCCATCGCCGACGCTGCTGTACCTTTGCTCTTCCTCTTCCATGCGCGTCTTCGCCGTCGAACATTCACGGACTCTACGAATCGCCTCAAGAACTTTGACGTCCTTCCCGTTCAAAGCTTGCGCGTTTTCGTAATCAATCAAAGCTCCATGATAGTCTTCAAGCTGCTCTCGAACTGACGCCTTTTTGAAAAACATCACTGCAGAAGGCTGGACTTCAAGAATTTCTGAGTAATCAGACACTGCATCCTTGAGAGAACCGAGCTGAACGTTCGCCTGTGCACGAAATTCCAACAAAACGACTTTTTCTGACGCTGAAATGGTCGAGTCGCGCAGACCACGTGTGATGAAAGACAGCGCTTCAACGTAATCACCGCAGTCGATTTGCGTTCGAACGCATTCAATCGTGTCTGCAGTAGAGATAGACTCAAACTGATCGAAGGGGACATCGTACATCTCAGCTACATTCGTTGTGAGCCATTCCAGTTTAGGGGCTAGCTTTCCTTCTCTGTCTCCGATCAGTTTCGCTCGAAGAGCTCGCATGTCCAACGTCTGTTGCTGCAGCACGAGTCCTGAGCTCACCTTTGGTGGAAGCGACATGACTGGCGGCGCACGTAGGTTCAACCATCGAATTGAGTGGTCCGCTTTGGTCAGGTTTATCAACAAACCCTCGTCATCGACAAGGCGCGTGCATAGCTCAGGGATGATGGCCCTGAAGAGGTGTTCGAGCACTAAGATGTAAGCGTGCTTCGACAACACATTCGATGTGACCTTCTGGATTTCGATCGATACCCGACGATCGGCGTACTCTACCGAGATTTCGTCCAGAATCGCGCTCTGTAAATCACAATGTCGTATTCTGAGCTGAATCCGTTCTCCCGTGTCCCACCAGCTGAACTTTTCGATACTGGCACGCACATCACACGGCGATGGATCTTCTCGTGACACTGCCGTTAGTTCAGGTAGTTTGCGGACGATGCCCCTGGCTCGATCCAAACGCGTCCGTTGGATCTCGCGACCAGGATCGAGCTTCGTAAGCTCGTATTGCACCAAATCGATGGCCCCTTGCGTCATGTGGTTGCCTACGAAGTTTGTCGTTGGACCAGTCTGCGGCTTTTCATATCCAGGCGCGCGCGCTATCATCGTCCCATCACTCTTCTGTTCCAGAGCGTCGTATCCCGAGCGCGCCCCCGGGCCTTTATCAATTCTATACCCCCCTCCGTGCGGATCCTTCGTCCAAACGCAGGGATAATGCTTGCCGTAATCCTTCTTCTTTTCCTCCACCACGTCTTCCTCGTCGAGCGTTTCTTTCTCCTTCTGTCCGCCCGCCGTCCCGTTCTCCTTGTACTCCTTCCACGCGCGCGCCTGCACAGCACCATCGCTGACAGCATCCAACGATGGATTGTACGCGGCTGCATGCGGTTCCATGAGGCCGAACGCTCTCGCGCGCGCGGTTGTGGGACCTCGACGTTCACACGGAAAGTAGGCGTTACTTTTTACCCAGAGATTCATTTCAATCATTTCAATCTAATGCTTTCCTCTTACGTGCGAGATAGCGCTCGCGCGCCGCAGAAATGTCCTCTTCCGTGGTTTTGCGCGCCCCAGGCGCTTTCAAGCCGACGTCTACCTCTGTCGCTGTCGGTTTCGTGTTGAGCTGACTTGACAGAGATGGGTTGAGTGCGCCTCTGCTGAGTCGGTGAATGTCGATCTTCTTAGACAACATCTCTCGCTGCTTCGAAATCCATTCAGACTCGATCTTGCACACATATCTCAAGTAGGGACGAGACGTCAGAACGAACTCGTGGAAGAGGATCCACTCTGGAAGCAAGCCATCATCATCGGCAAGCTGACGGGCCATGGTGGGATACACTTGGCACAGCGTCGAATGCTCCCCTAGTGTCCGATACCCGTTATGATGAGGCAGTCTATGCGCTATTTTTGTCGCGAATCCCACGCAAAGTGATCGCCGCAACATTCTCAAACCTTGATCGTGTGAAGTTCGTGTCACCTCGACAAGTCCGAGAAGCTGCTTACGTATGTCACGGGCAAACTCCATACCTCTCTCAGATAACGAGAATCTTTTCAGAAAGCTTCGTCGATACCCGTCTCGCTCCCATGCTTGAAATACACGAAGAAGCACGATGTGATCACCCATCAGAAAGTCATCATGCGATACGAGTTCGAGTAGACTTGTCGCCTCGTCGTAGTGCTGACCCACGCTTAACATCGCCGCGACCGTCGCGGTCTCGAGAACGCAACCGAAATGCCGAGCTTCAACCATGGCACGCGCCAAACTTGGTTCTAGCGGTAGCGTGCTCATCTCGCGCCCGACACGGGTTGGATTTCCATCGTCGTCGATACCGCCAAGGAGGTACAGCTGCCTGAGCGCATCCGCGATGAGGTCCGGGTCGGGAGCGTCCAAAAAGTCGAACGTCATGACATCCAAATCTTTCAGGTCCAATGTTTTCAAATACAGAATGGTCGCGACAAGACACGTTCGCTGTATCTCTGGACGAGTCACTTTGGGCATGTCGTGCTCGAGCGCGTCCTTCGTGTAGAGTCGGTAGCATCTCCCAGCCTGAGTACGCCCGGCACGCCCAGCTCGCTGCTGGGCCTGTACTTTGCTAATTTGAACGACTTGCAAAGATTCCATACCGGTTGCTGCGTCATACTCGATCTGTTTCACAACGCCTGGATCGATCACAAAAACAATTCCAGGTACAGTCAACGACGTTTCAGCAATGTTTGTCGCCACAATGACTCGTCGAACGTTCGCGTCGTGCGGTTGAAACACTCTCGACTGCATATCCGGAGTAAGCGACGCGTACAAAGGTAAAACTTGCATGTCCATACACTGCCTCGTTGTTCGCACTGCATCTTCGATACGGCGACAGCACTTCTCAATTTCATCTCGCCCTGTCAAGAAGCACAGCACATCACCCGGACCGGCGTTCAAGTGAATATCCATCACCGTCTCGATCGCACTCTCAAAGTATGAACGCGGCGCGTGGGTACTATGCGCGATTTGCACCGGATATGTCCGTCCAGGTATAGTAAATACCGGAGAACCAAAGTAACGTGAAAACTTTTCACCATCGAGAGTAGCGCTCGTGATCACCAGCCTGAACTTCTCTGCACGAGTGGTCACGAGTTTTTTTAATACTCCAAATAAGATGTCTGTGTTCAACGAACGCTCGTGCGCTTCATCAAGGACGACAATTGAGTACTTAGACAGTTGCGGATCCTCGAGAAGCTCGCGCAACAGAGTGCCATCGGTAACATACTTGATCCTCGTTGCCGTGGACGTCCTATCTTCAAAACGCACGCCGTAGCCAACCTCTTCTCCAACCCTTACGCGCATCTCCTCCGCCACGCGTTTGGCGACGCTCACAGCGGCCACTCGTCTCGGCTGCGTCACGCACACAGCCTTGTCTTCGGCGATGACACCCGCTTTCAACAGTATTTGCGGTATCTGCGTCGTCTTCCCGCTCCCCGTCTCCCCTATAATCACCGTCACGGCATTCTTCTCCACCGCACACGCGATCTCGTTCGCTGTTCGTCGTTGTCACCGATCGTTGTCAGTCACTGTTCGTCGTTTCAGTCACAAAGAGCAATTCGTGAGCTCCGCGCGCGCGCGCCGCGGGCGTCGCCGCGACGAACCTCGTCTGGACACCGGGAGATCGCTCAAATCGAGGCTCCAAGTCTCATCGCTCTCCATCGCCAGCGTCGGCGGCACGCGAAGTCGCTCACGAGCGCCCCATCGCTCGCGCTCTGACGAATAGCCTCAGGAGCCTCCACGTTCGTCACTCCTCGTCCTAAGGACGCGATGTCGAGCATACGGGCCGCCGCACGCGCGGCGCTGGAGCGAAAACGTCGAGAGGCGGAGGCAATGGCGGGGGAAAGACGGGTGGAGCGGCCGGACCTCAACGACGAGGCGGGAGAGAACGCTCGGCCTGGGACGGCGGCAGTGAAGCCGAAAGCAGTGGCGAAGAAATCCCGATGGGGCTCATCGGACGACGAGAGCGAGGAAGAAGACGATAACCACGCGTGCGGTCGACGAGAGGAGGTGATGAACGCGGGGGGACCGTCCACAGGGGGTCAGGGATACACGGAGAAGATGCTTGCTGAAGCGAACTTGTTCGCCGCGGCGCAGCGAGACATGCAAGACGTCGTGGAAAGTGGAAAACAACGCTCACAAGGGGTGGATCCGAAGCAATTCTTTGCTCCTTCTCCGAGCTCCGAGGATGGCCACACGGATGCGTCTCCGGAGGCGGGGCCGGCGCGTCCACCCGAGGGACTAACGGCTGCTTTGGCTGAGCTGGAGTCCTGTGACAAGGAGGAGCCGATCGCTGGTCCGGCGCGACCGCCACCGGTGGAATCCAGTGTAAACGATAGCGAACTGGAAGATGCACCGACCGGTCCGGCGCGACCTGATCCAGAAATCTCGAGATTGCGTGCCCAGGAAGCAAAACAACCTGTGCAGTCTCTCAATTTGGTTGACGCTGAACTACAGGTTACGCGCTCCATGTCGATGAGTATGCTACCACTGAAAAAGAAAGCGTTAGATATGTTGCAGAGATGTCGAAGCGTCGATGAGTTCGAGAGATTGAATAAGATTGACGAGGGTACGCACGGGATCGTTTTCAAAGCTCGCGACAAACGCACCGGTGAAGTTGCAGCACTGAAGCGAGTGATAATGGACGAGGCTGATGACGGTTTTCCCTTAACGGCTCTGCGAGAAGTGAATATTTTGCTGTCGCTAGATCATCCGAGCATCGTGAACGTGAACGAAGTCGTCGTCGGTTCCAAGCTAAATTTTGTATTTATGGTGATGGAATATGTTGAAAACGATTTAAAAGGTCTCATGGACCAGATGGCCGAGTCGTCGGTACCAAGGTTTACCGTACCGGAAGTCAAAGCGTTCATGCTTCAGCTACTGAGTGGTATGTCTTACTTGCATGAAAATTGGATCATGCATCGGGATTTAAAACTGTCAAACATTCTCGTAACAAACTCTGGCGACCTGAAGATTTGCGACTTTGGACTTGCTCGACAATTTGGTGGAGTGGGGAGGTACACCCAACTCGTTGTAACTCTTTGGTATCGCCCGCCTGAGCTATTGCTCGGCGCTACGACGTACGGCCCTGCTATCGACGTCTGGAGTCTCGGATGCATATTTGGGGAACTTCTCAGCGGCGCGCCACTCTTCAACGGGCGAGCAGAGATTGACCAGCTTCAGAAGATATTCAAGCTCCTGGGCACTCCTAACGACAAGATATGGCCAGAGTTTAGCTCTCTGCCGAGTGTGCAGAAGGTGACATTTACGGAGCAGCCGTACAACAAACTTCGTCAAAAGTTCCCTCGTGACTCGACCGGTCTGAGCGACAACGGTTTCGAGTTACTCAATCGCATGCTGACGTACGATCCATCAAAGCGTTTCACGTGCTCCGAAGCACTTAATCACCCGTTTTTCGAGGAGTATCCTCCGCCACAGCGTCCTGTCTTTGTCGAAGAAGCTTATCGCCGTGCGTCGCTTGGGTCTGAGAAAGTACCTGCCCACACGGTAGCCTCAGTAACGCGCTCTTCTTGTGAAATATAGCACATAGATCTTAGCCAGCGGAAGAACACGTGTCACTCATGCGTTCGTTCGCCCTCAATCGCGACAGAGCGGCGATATCGGCGGTTTCGTGCGACTCGAAGCGTTCGGGTTGTCGACCCCGTTGTCCGAGCGGGCAGGCGTTAAGCACGCTCGTGGGACGTCCGCGAGCGGATGTCGGGAGATGCGAGGCGAATTTAGGACAGACATCAACATCGTCGGCGCCGACGGTGGTTTTAGAGCGCGCACAAACCGGGGAATCACCGGGCGTGAGGGTAATTCTGTTACCAACGTCGCACGCCGGCGGGCGGTCGGGCAAGGACGCAGAAGAAGTCATACGAAATATGAAACCGGACGTGTTACTGTTAGAAGTGTGCGATGAACGGATAAATGGGGTGATAAAGCGGTTGAGTGGGGGAACGGATGGCGTGCTCGTCCCCGAAGTGGTATACATCCATGGATTGCCGACTGGGACTTTACCGGGTGGAGTTGAAATTTCGACGCTTCTGTCACGATTGAAAACGAGAATCGGGACGAGAGTAAACGCTTCGGATCTGTTGAAGGATGCTGAAACGCTGATGCGCACCGGTTTGTTCGATTCTGTTCACGTGAGTGCGGTTGGTAAACTAGGCACAAGTGTGGTCTGGGAGGGCGGGCGAGCGACAGTGGAAACGCTCACATCTGAAATAATCTTTGACGTCGTCCCCGCGGACGGCGAACTAACGTCGGATATTCGGTTCGTTTGGTCTGACGCTATAATCGAAATTCTGAACACTGATATGACTAAAACCGAGGCTCGCGTGATACGTCGAGCAGGTGAACTCGTAGAAATGAGTGAAAGTGTGAGTGGAGACGGTGAAATGGGTGTGTGGCAGTTTGGAGCTTTGTGTAGTGCGATTTTGATCGCAGTTCGAGAAGAAATACCAGATCAATACGCTGTGACACTCGATTTGAGCGACGTAGATGTCATATCGGTGAAATTCGCTGACAAGGCCAGCTTGACACCAGAGGATTTTGCAGAGCGCGTCTTCATCGACATTGAGAATATTCTTTCGGTCTCGTTCTCTGCTCGATCAGCTGCAACGGAGGCAGTTGAGTCTTCTTCAGTGAGTGTAAAAATGATTAATGCAATGTTGAAGTTGGCGGAGTCTACGATTTCGAACAAAGTAGACGCCAAGGATGGGGAAGAAATCATCACTGGCTTGTCGACGGCGTTCGATTCGCAAGTGTCTCGAGTTTATTTGGCTGACTCGAAGCTGTCCAAGATCATGTTATCGCTGGACACAAAAGTCAAACGCAACGTAGCAGGGACAAAACGGTCAATTTTCCGCTATGTGCTCGAATCAATTCGCTCTTTGATCACGTTCAGCTTCAAGACAAAAGAGGAAGTGACAGCAGCAATTGAAACTGAGCGGTTGGAGTTGATGCGGACTGGCGACGTGGATATGCCGACACACATGCGCGAGGTTCTGATTGACGAACGTGACGATGTAATTTTTGACTGCTTGTGGGCCGTATCTCAAGGTGAGCGGATCGATCGACCCTGCTTCAGTCTTGAGGACTCGTGCCGTTATGAATATTCCGAGAGGGCGCCGCCACTCATTCTGCGTGTGCGAGAGAGCACCCCGGTGACCATCGTGGCGATTCTCGGCGCTGCACATCTTCCCGGTATCATTCGCCGATGGAACACCACGTCTTAGGTTTGTACATCAATTTCTTAGCATCGAGTGTCTCTCGTTTAAAGATGCGCGTTCAACTTGATGCGCGCGCGCTAGGGCTTAGCCAGGGCTTAGACATCACCCGTTGCGCGGCGCAAGTGCCGTGTCGAAAGGGTCACCACACCACGCCGGTTTATGCCAGACAACGTCGACACGTCCAACACAGACGCGTCGTGCACTCTCGCAGACATCGATTGGAAGGTAAGAATAGTTCTCCATCGCTCGCCGCGCTCGTTCGTCGTCGGCGTCCATCTCTCCGACGTCGTGCTCGAGTGATTTGGCGCCGAGAACCCTCTCGGACGTAGGGTCGCTCGACGCTCGAAGCGCGTTGTTCGAACGCCTCGAGAGCGTTCGACGCGCTCTTCGACGGTAGAGCAGAGGATTGAAATATTGCCACGTCCTCTCGAGCGCTCGTCGGTCGAGAAACTCTCGCGCGTCATCCACGGGCAGGGGTTGTGGGTGACGACTAGTCGCTAACATCGTCACCTTTTTGTGAGGAGCTAGGAAGACTGACGGCGTCGCTCTCGCTCTCGCAGCTTCATCGAGTGCTCTCTAGCGACAAATTCGCTGACATCGACGAGTCCCTAGTGAGGCTTCAACTACACCTCGAGCATCCCTCGTCCAATAGACGAGCAGTTTCCCTCGAACTCTCAAGCGAGGAACTCGAGCGAGTCATTGTCGAACTCGACAACGCTAAGAAGGCGTTGGATCAACTCAAAAAGCAGTAAAACGCGTACATGGTGACTGTTACGAAGAAAAAGAACGCCGGCATGCCCTCGGGCGAGATCGCGGCGTTCACAAAGAAGTCTCAGCAACTGAAATTGGAGGCTGACGTGCTCTTCGCCAAAGGTGACCAAGGTGGGGCACTGTCAAAGTACCAAAAGGCGCAAGAGCTCGCGCTCAGAGGGAGCTCTGAGTTTGTTTCGATCGCTACAAATAAGGCTGCGGTATACTTGAAGCTGCAGCAACCTTTGCTGGCGGTTCAAGAGTGCGATAATGCGCTCGACGCCCAGTCCGATTTCAAGCCGGCGTTGCTGCGTCGTGCAACTGCATACGAGAAACTGGAAAAGTATGCCGAGGCTAAGGCCGACGTAGAACGTGCGTTGGCAAGCGATCCATCCGACGAAACCGTGAGAGGTCGCCTTGATAAGCTCAAGAGTCTAGCTGAAAAGCCGAAGCGTGAGGCTCGACCAGCGGGTTTGGGTGGCTCCGGTATCGGCCGACAACCTGCGCAGAAGTTCACAAAGGAACAAATCGCCGCCATGCGTGCCGAGCTCCTCAGACAACAGCAACAGTCGACTATGTTCACCTTCGACGTCACGTGCGAAGGCGAGGTGAAGAGCATCAAGCTTCCTGTCCAGCTTCGATATTCTGATCTGGTGAACGCCATCAAGAGCGAGTTTGGCATCGAGAAGTACGTCGCTGTCAAGTACAGGGACTTTGACGGGGATTTCGTAACTATCACATCTCGTATGGACCTACGAACCGCCCTGACAAACTTTGCAGCGGTCGCAGAAAGAGAGGCTAAAGAGAAGAATGAGAAGCCTGAATCAGCTATCCCGGTAATCCATGTCACTGCTTTTGCGTCTGATGTCGAGTTCGTTGAGACGCCCGAGAACGTTCAACCGCAAGAGTTGCAAGAAAACGATGAGATCAACGAAGATGTGATCGAAATCGACGAGTGGTTGCTCAGCTTCGCGGCGCTCTTCCGTAGGTCTCTTGGCGACGCTGCGCCGAAGGATGGATCGCAGCTTGAGTTGCGCACTGTCGGACTCGACAAGTGCTGTGAGGTGTTGGAGCAAACCGTCGGTATGCCGGAAGCTCAAGGACTTCTCGTTGCGGCCACAGAAAAGTTCCAGGAGGCGGCGGCAACCGCTATCTTCAACTGGGGGAACACTTATGCGTGCAACGCTCGCAGGATTATAGATTCGTGCGGACCCAGTGAGGATGATGGGGCAAGTTCGAGCGACGAAGCGCTCGCGGCGGCCGCTAAGAAGCACATGGCTGCCCTCGATGCCGATTATGAAGCCGCCTGCGAACGATTTGCGGCGGCTCTTGAGATCAAACCGACGTATTTCGAGGCCCCCATCACATGGGGACAACAAGCGTTTGAACGAGGTAAGCTGTACCATCACTTGTCTCGACAAGTTGAAGGTGGCGAAAAGAGCAAAGCCGAGAGAATCACCGACGAAATGTTTGCTCTTGCGATCATTAAGTACCAAGACGCGATGGGGATGCTTTCGCCGGAAGAGAGAGATGTCGTGTTGACTGAGAAGTGTGAAGACTCGAACGGCGTGAAGGCGCAAATATTGATTCTTTGGGGCAACGTCCTGTACGAACAATCGCAAGTGAAGCATACTCGTGGAGATAAGAACTGGCGCGATGATTCTGTGGCTGCCGTTGCGAAATTCAACGAAGCGGGCTGCGCTAAGCAAGACATCGTCCGGGCGCTCATGAACCACTCCAGTGGAGAGTGGAAGGAAGAAGCCGAGGCTGTGAAGACGGCAAACGCATAGTGAGGAGTTAGAATCACAGTAAATAGCGGCTCATCAACATTTTTTTAATGAACGCGCGCAAGCAAGTATTCGCAAGCGATAACCCCCACTTATTCTTACATGAAATCTATTTATTTTACCTCGCATGGAACGTTGGAAATACACATATCGTCCATTGTAGGAACGCTGTTAATCACCAAGCCGTGCTCATTGGCGAGGTGAAGAGCGCAGATGAACGCCATATGTACACTAATATCCTCAACGTGTCCAGCTGGGTTATCTATAGGGAATTCTCGGAGTATTTCGTTGAATGAATGAACTTCCTCATGCGATGTGGACTCCTCGAGATTTGACCAGAGCGTTTGCTTCAGCGCACGGACGTTCACTTGCTTGGCAGTTCGAGCGTAGTTGACCTCAATCTTTTCGACACGCCTCGGGGCATCTATTAAGTCGCCATCTTCATCGAACTCGCCGGCTTCGTACCATCCTCCCGCCTCGCCAACCAGTTCTTCACCCTCATCAAACTCACCCTCAGCCGGATCGTCGACCGGCGGCGACGCAAACTCACCCATGTCCTGATTCATCGATAAGTCGTAATGTACCAGTCCAGCAACGTTTTGCGATTTTAAGAACAACTTGATCAGATTGGATGCTTCGTAGCCGAGATCTGGTGGAAGAAGCGTATCTGACGCACTTGGAGCCGAGGCAAGTAGTAAATCGTCCTCGTCCACAGCAAGTTCAAATCTTCGTTCATCCAACTCGGTCGGATTTTCAAAGTCGTAAGTGAGCTCACCTTTCCCTCGCTTCTTTTGGCCCCTGCTTTCACCCTCTTCATCGCCGTGCGGGGATTGCTTGGGACGAGGCGGAGCTCTGAATTGCCAGTGTGACGGACCGGCCCAACCCATCTTGCCACCCAAGCCAGACGAAACAATCCACTCTAAACCGCCCTCTTGAGTGGATAAAACTGTGTCATCGACAGCTCTATCTCTATCGCCGTCTTCAGTCCAGTTTTCATCACCAAACCCATCTCCGCCGACAGCCCAGTCTTCGGGACTCTCCTCCGCGTCGTCTTCTTCGTCATCGTATTCGGCAAAGTTGACCCCTTCGAGCGTTGAGTTCGCAAAGAATGAGCCAGACTCACCTTCAGTAGTCTTTTCGGACGCCTTGGTAGGAGCCACACCTGTGACTTCTGTGAGCATGGTCTGAATCGCATCGATAGAAGGAGTGATGCGAGAGATCGATTCCATCGCTGAAGTAGCAACTTCAATGGAAGAGCGCAGCGAGGAGAGGTCAAGCGTTCCCGCAGTCAGCACTTCATCACCCTTGGTGTAATCTGGCACCTCCTCCGAGTCGAAGCAAATGTTGCACCCCTTGTGCACCGATAAGTTGGTCAACAAAAGACCAGAAGCCCCACCTTCATCGAACATGGCACTTGTCTTCTGGAAAAGCGGATCTACGACGAGCGTTTCATCGAGCTGCTTCATTGAGTGCGCTTCTGGTTGCTCCAAGGTATTCACGGCGGCTCGACGCTTTTTCGTTTTCATGCCTTCACCATCTTCAGGTAACTGACTTCCTTCAGCGCCATCGCCGAGGCCTTGACGCGCGTCTTCTTCTTCCTCACCGTTCGATGAGACTTTGTTCATGCCACCAAGCATCTTGAATGTCTCGTTGTGGAACGAATCGACTCGAGAAGCGTAAATCTTCACACCAGCTTCAAGGGTACAGCTTGCTTTTTGAAAATTCGTCTGGTTATCCTCATCCTTCTCGTTCTTGACGATGTCACTGATGTGATCGATCAGTGCCAGGCTCCATGTATTCTTGGAGTTGATTTTGTTCTCCGAAGCTAGCTTGATGCAGTTCGTGTACAGGCTCAGGACCGCCTCCGCAGAGAGCTTCTTCACCGGCCTCGGCCCCGCCGATGCGGCGTCAGTGAGTTCCTCCAACTTGCTCGGCTTTTTCACCGGAGCTGACTCGGCGTTTTCGTCCAATTCCTTCGCGAAGTCTCGTCGCATCGCCTCCTCGGCCTCGCGCGAGAGGAGTGATTTCTGCCGTTCCAGTTGGTCATCGTTCGGGCTCAACAAACCGACGGGGTGCGGTGACTTGCTCAGCGGGGTCTTGTTCCGCGCCTTAGATTTAATCTTTTGGTTGTGAGGCGTGAGCACGCCGCTCATGACTCTCGTGCGCCGCGACGTCGTCTGACGCCGCGTCGTTTCATGCCGCGACGCGAATCGTTCCCCTCGGAGCAAGAGTGGGTCTTCGACGATTCGCAAACCGAGAAAAATGGAATGCACATATGAAAGACTATGAAACACTAATAACAAAACTAACGACTACCACGAGCTCCAGTCCGAGCTCGAAACTCGAATCGCTCGTTGCGTTCTCGCTCGTCGAGACGAACCGTCGTCGACCATCTCTCGCGGGACGTCATCCGGGCGGACGACTCGGTCGATACATCCACGCGTCGGCGTCCAGCTCGGTCGCCACCGTTCTCAGGTCCTCCAGCGCTGACTTGACGCACGTCTGTCGAGCGAGCTCGAGCGCGCGTCGCTCGTGGCGCTCGCTCGAGCACGCGGCGCGCACGCGCGCGTGATCGGTGTCCGGATCGCTCGACCACGGGGCACCGTCGATCGCCGCCGGATCGTCCGCGAAGGCCGTCGGTCTGGCCGAGCGCTCGACGGGCATCGAGACGGGCGTCGAAAAGTGTAGTCTGTCGTTCGTCGGTCTGTTTGCAGTCTGCAATTCGAACTTCGAAAACGGAACCAACTACGGTAGTTTCGTTCGAGTGAGCGAGCGAGAGAGAGCGCGACGCGTCTTCGACGAGTTCGACGCAGGATCGTTCGCGAGCATCGCTCGCTCGGCGTTGAGTGTAGCCGCCTGTCATCGGTCGCAGCGACGAGCGGACGACACCGCGAAGATGCTGCGACCCTTGGCAACGACCGAGAACCAGGTCCCGTCGTCGTCGTCGTCGATTCGGGTGCTGACGGAGCAAGAGGAACGCGACATCGGTGAGCTGTTTGAAAGGACTCAGAATCTCTCCACGAAGGGCATTGCGAGCATGGATCGAATCCTCCGACGCGAGCTTGAAGATACCGACCACCTGCTCGCGACGGCGCTGGAGTCTTCTGGCAGTGCGCTGGCTTTGCTGTCCGAATGTGTCTCGGAGGTCGAACATTCGATGGTAGACATCAATGCATGGTCCGCGGTGTTCGAAACAAACTTGTTGAACATGCGCACGAATCTGGCGACGATAAAAGGGCAAGATAAGCAACTTCAGGTGTCCGCCGCTAACAAGCGCTCGCTCGCTGACGCCTTGGAGGAACTTCTTCAAAAGTTGGAAATTCCGGTGAACGTCGAAAATGTGCTTCTAGAGCACCCTTTCGAGGACGATAAGAGTGTTTTGAAGTTTTGTGACGCGCTTGAAGGATTAGAGGGTTTCAGATCGAGGTTGAGGTAAGTTGCCTACAAAGTGAGGCGTGTGAGAGAGCTCTTCTCACCTTGCGTCGCTCAGGGCCCCTGATTTGCCTACACACGTTTTGGAGATGCGAGTCGTTCGAGAGGCGGCAAATCGCGCACGAGAAGTATTTGAGCGCGCACTTGCGCGAGTGCTGCATCGTTTTGAGGCAATAACGGAGGTACGTGTTGCACAACTTGGTCGACTTATTATTGAAAAATTATTTTCTTCTGCAGGGATGGGTGCGCTGGGTGATCCAAAGCGGAGCAAAAAGCGACGAGTACGCGTGGGAAGCAATTCACAGGTGAGTCGAACGTCCATATGATTTTCGTAAAAAAATCAAACGCTGACATCGTGTAAACCAGCAAATTAGAAGAACTCAAGAAATTATTTCAATTATTGGCAAAATTAAATCCGCCATGTGCGAACGCATTTGCCCGCAAATATTGCTCCAGCTGCCGCGAAGTCATGTGGCATGATTTAGTTACGACACTGAGCTCTATTACAGCGGAAGGGCTCGGATCCAACCGCGTGAGTGTACGTCACACTTAATTTTTTGGTTGAACCAGTATTCAAATTAATTATTTTTCTCACAGGTCGCATTTCACGCGTTGAACGATGCGATTTCGTCCGCCTCGCAACTCATCAACGAAGAAGGACGTTACTCAGTCGAAATGTTCAAAATATCGGCGAACGAGCGAGATCTCCACAGTCGTGAAATAATTGTTGGATTTGATGAATATTTGTTAGATTTAATTGAGCAACAAATTGCAGCAGACAACGCGCTTTCCGTGGTTTTCCTAGCAGTCTTGCGCAATGCCGCACAGGCATTGAGTGGTTCAGCCCAGCTGGCGCTGAAAGATGCCTTGCTCCGAGCGGAGGTACGCGCATATGTGGTCTTCAATTATTTTATTTCGAAGTTAATTTTAATTAATTCCAGATTGGTGTGGAAGAGCTTTCATCGGTTGTTTCTCGGAACTTCAAAGATCAGATGAGCGATGCACACGCGAAGCAATCAATCGCGCGAAGTTCCGCAGGGGAATACGAATTCTGCATGCCAGAACTGGATCCTTTGAGAAGCACTATTTTCGCACGTGTCAGCCTCGCCTCGATGCTCCCATCTCAGGAAAAGTCTACGTATGCGCCACTTGAATCCATGTGTAACGTCGCGTTTGCGCACATCGATCGAGTCGCAAACGCCGCACCGAAAAGGTAGGTCGCCCGCAATATTCCCACTACTCGTCTAGATCTGATATACCTACGAACAGGAATGACCGAGTCAGGCTCCAGGGATATTTCTCCCTGGCGCAGTGCTTTGGACAAGGTGAGGTTATGGACGAGTCTCTCCAAGGGCCCGGAAGGCGCTTGGTAGATTTTATGCAGTCAGCAAGCTTGAGCTACGTCGTGGAGGTGTGCGAGAAGCACTTCGGTAAGATCTTTACCGAGATTCACGAACTGGGCTTGGACTCGAACTCACCCCAGCTTGGCGGTGTTGAGCGACAGCTGTTGACAAGGCTGTACAAAATCGCCGTTCCGAACGCTCGAGTTGCCGACAAGAACATCGAAGCTTGTTCTAAAACGTTGAAGAAAGATCTGATCGTTTCACCGCTTACTTTGCAGGTTTGGAGACTGGTTGAAAATCGAGTCATTGAAGGCATGCTTGTGCTCAAGGTGCATCTTGGCGGGGACAAGTTGGCGAGCTCCTTTCCCATCGAAGACGTTCGGCGATCGTTCTCGCTCCACTCGAAAGGTCTGAGAGATATGTAATGGAAACAACAATAGACAGATTGCATTATTGTCACTAAGAGACGAAAGGCTATGTAGATAATGTGACGAAGACAACGCTTGTAGTCTTTCAGTAGTCTTTGGTGGCGGTCACTTCCGGGGCGACCACGCCAAAATACAACATGACCAAAGGCTCGCTTCCTTCACTCGATACGATTTCGTGAGGCTCTTCAGGCCCGACGTGAACGCTCACGCCGGACTTGAGCTCAATCTCTTCCCGAGGTTCGTCTATGTTGCGCGCACCATGGCGCCACACCTTGAACGCGCCTCGTCCACTCTGCACGAAGAACACCTCGTACTTGCTCGGGTGAACGTGACGATCGATGACGACTCCCGGAGGTAGCGCAACATGAGATAAATTCGTGAGCTGAGGCACCTCGTCGTACCTGAGTAGATCCTTGACGATATCCGCGGTGGCTTGATGGTTGATGGCTCTTGCCTGCACGGAGTCCAACGAAGCAGCGCGAATTTTCACAACGGGATATCGATGCGACGACGCCTCGCTCGAAAGTTCTAGGTGAGGATCGACGCGGCCATCTGCTCTCATGCCGTCGTTTCGAGATGATGATACGTCGTCGCGCGTCGACGAGTACGGTTCGCGAGTTTTTTCGCTCTTCGGCTCGAGTGACTCGTCGCGTCACTCGAGCGAGCTCACACCTAGGCGATCTGGGAGTCCGCGAAGTCGCGCGAGCGGGATTGACGGTACGATTGTCTCGCGATGGATGACGTCCACGCGCTCGCTCGCTCGACCTCCCGTCGTCTCGTCGTGCTCTACGGCTCGGAGACTGGCAACTCCCAGGACGTGGCCGAGCGAGTCGTTCGAGAGGCGAAGGCTCGACACTACGCCCCGGTGTTCATGCCCATGGAGAGCTATGACGTGCGAACATTACCAAGCGAACGATACGTGGTGTTTGTGACGTCCACGACGGGGCAGGGCGATGAGCCGAAGAACATGAAGAGCTTTTGGAGGTTCTTGTTGCGAAGAGGCCTGTCGACATCGGCGCTGACAAACGTGTCCTACAGCGTCTTTGGATTGGGGGATTCGGGGTATCAAAAATATAACATCGTGGCGAAGAAGCTGTTTCGTCGACTCGAGGGTCTGGGCGCTCACGCAGTGCACGAGCTCGGTTTGGGTGACGACCAGCACCCGCTTGGGTACGAGGCGGCTTTGAATCCGTGGTTGAGCGGACTCTGGAAGGCTATGAGGCAGATTTGCCCGCTACCTGTGCAATTGAATGACCCAAGTGATGAGGAGCTTGCGAATGCACCGCTTCCCGCAGCAAGATTTCAGATTGATGTGACCGATTCGGCTGGAGTTGAAGCAGAGACGAGTCGAGAGCATTTTGAGCGCCTGTTGGAGGCGCACAGAGCATTGAGAATAGCCGTCGCGGCCGCAGATGCGTGCGATGCGAGCGTTATGTTTTCAAAAAGTGAGTACGAAGCGCGAGATTGTCGCGAGAAAACGTATTACGACGGATCCGTGCGCGAGAATAGGTGCTTGACGAGCAAGGACGCTGTGAAGGATGTCCACCATCTGGAGTTTGAATCTGCTGATGGATCTACGCTGGCTTACGAACCGGGAGATGTGCTCGGAGTGGTACCTTTCGCAATTGGCGCAGACGATGAACGGGTCGCGCAATTGATCGAGCGCTTGGGGATGTCCTCAGACGCTTGGGTGCGCGTGTACCCAGCTTGCGCACCCACAACGAAAAGCGACTTTCCATGGGTTGAACTCAAGTATCTCATTGCTGGCGGGGTTGACATCGATTCTGCTTCGCCGAGGCGGTACTTTTTCGAAGCTATGAGTCACTTTGCCGAGGAAAAACACGAAAAGGAGCGTCTTCAGTACTTTGCATCGGCAGAAGGCGCGGTCGATCTGTACAAGTACAATCAGCGAGAGCGAAGGACTGTGTGTGAAATATTTGACGATTTTTCGTCGTTGAAACCTACACTCGAGTGGTTATTACAAGTGTGTCCTCATTTGCATGAGAGATACTACTCAATATCATCGTCTCCTGCGGCCGATACGGCGCAAACTGGTGCCATACACATCACTGTCGCTTCAGTGAAGTGGACAACGCCAATGAAGCGTGAACGCACGGGACTGTGCTCCTCGTGGCTAACATCGATCGATACTGGGACAAAGATCGCTTTCTCTATCTGCAAAGGTAGTATCAGTCTACCTCCTCCAGAGGTGCCGCTGATTCTCGTAGGACCCGGAACCGGCATCGCGCCGTTTCGTTCATTTGTTCGTTCACGTATGCTTGAAACAGCCGGCTCGAGCACCGCCGGAGATATTTTAGTTATTTTCGGATGCCGGGACGATCAGCGCGACTATTTGTACAAAGAAGAGTGGGAAAAGCTCGAAGATTCTGGCTCTTTAGTGGGATCAAACGGTCTTGGAGGCATCGTAGTCGCGTTTTCTCGCGCTCCAGGGCAGACGAAGAAGTACGTCCAGGATCGCATAAAGGATGAGGCAAAGCGCGTTTGGACGCTGCTTGAAAGCGGAGCAAAGGTCTTCGTGGCGGGCTCAGCTGAAAAAATGCCTACAGCTGTGCGAATGGCGATTCAGGACGTAGTGAAAACACACGGATCGCTCGATGATGAAGAGAGTGCAAGATACGTGAACAAGTTAGACATGAGTGGTAGGTATTTTGTCGATGCATGGTGATGTAGTATGTAGTATGTAGTATGTAGTATGTAGTATGTACATGTCGGGTCGTGAGTACTGCTCGTCTCGTCTAAAAGAATGGCTTGTCATCGTTTCGTTCGTCTCGCTCACGTTTGTCCTTAGACAGACATGACTCATGGCAGAGTTGGAAAGGAGCAACCCTCTTGGGTCACGGGAATGAGCACATCTGGATCGATTCCGAGAGACTCACACTTTTCCTTCATCTTTGACACGACCTCCTCGGAAACTTCTGGATCACGCACGAAAAGCCAAAGTCCTCCGGACGGTTCGCACAGCCCGTTACCTCTCGAGATCGTTGGTTGTCCACCAGAGATGATGGCCCAGCTATATCCTCGCTCATCGAACTCCGCATCGCCCGGAGAGACATCTGTGGCGACGACCCAGTACGGCCCGTACAGAAACCGAGGCAAAAACCTCATTCCAACGGCAATCTTTGACGGCATGTTCGGATCCTCGATCAAGCCGCGAAGCTTGAACCTTCCGTCGGCGTTCCGCGGACTTCCGTCCACGCCGTCTCGGTTCGCGGTGTTCCAAATCGAAATCGTTCGCTCGTCCACAACCGTGTAGTTCGCTCGAACGCAGAAGAGATCGCGAGTGGGTTGATACGACGTCGGTTTTTGCGCCGCGACGTACCACTCCGCCTCGACGTACGCGTCGAGATCGAAAGGATCGACGGGTTCGACGCGCGCGCATTCCTCGCTCGCCTCGACGCCGAGAACGAACGCGTGGCTGCGCGTGAGCGCGAGCGCGAGCGCAACGGCGCCGAGGCGAGCGACGGCGCGTTGCGCGTGATGTCCACGCAGACGACGCGTCATCGCTCGCTCGCGCGACGCGGTGTGCGTCCAGGAGCGCGTTCGCGACGAGACGAAACTCGCGGGCGCCACCTCGGGAAGTCCAACCGTCGAGGGCGCGGTGGCATCGAGCACGTCGAGATCGAGATCGAGATCGAGATCGAGATCGAGATCGAGGCATTGACGTCTCGGACGGGCCGGACAGATCGCCGTCGTCGATGCGGGCGTCGTCGTCGAGGGCGAGCGAGAGCGCGAGCGGGGTGAGCGCCGCGAGAAGGTGCGCGACACCCGCGTCCGCGGCGTCGGCGACGACGACGCACGCGCGCGCGAGCGTCGTGAGAAGAGCGAAGGGGACCGGTGCGGATGATGAACCGGTGGTGGTGACGCTCAAGGTTGATGGGATGATGTGCGAGGGGTGCGCCGAGAGCGTGACCACGCTCCTGATGAAGAACGACAAGGGCGTGAGCGTGAGCGCGGTGGACATCGATCTCGAGACGAAGATGGTCAAGGTGTCGATCGCGTGCGAGAGCGTGGTGGAAGGCGTGACAAAGCTCCCGGCGCTCGTGGACGTCGTCGTCGCCGGCGGCTACGAGGCTGAACCCGTGTTTTGATCGATAGCGCGATTTGCAAAGAATAAAAGTAGATAAGATCGGTACGACTCTCAATCTTCAGCATGAGTGACTAGGCGTAGAGTTCGGCGAACGCGTTCACGAGCGACGGCGACGGAGTTGCCCTGACAAGACAGGGCGAAGTAATTGGCGTCGGCACTGGCGACACGGGCGGAGAATCATCATCGGTGACGCACGCTCGATCTCCACTTTCGCCCTCCTCTCGACTCGCTCGCATTTCGCTCAGAATTTGGTCTATTTTCTTCTCCATCGCATCAACGCGTGTGGCCAAAGCGGTGACGATGGCTTCAACGCGCGCGGCCGAGTGCGCCATCGACTCCGTCATCGATGCGATCGACGTCGATGTCGATGCGAAATCATCGGGAGATGACGCGAATCGGCGAGAGATTCCGTAATCCTCGTCTCTCTTGTCGTCGTGGTCATCTCCGTCATCGTCGACTCGCTCCGCCCCTCTCGCTCTCGAAAGCGTCTTATTCTTCAGGTTTGGCAGCAACGTGTTCAGGAGCATGCGTCCCGATGGATACGAACACGGTTCCACTCGAAGCGTCGGCGTCGTCTTCACCGGTGTTCTCGCCTCTGTGCGCGATTCCCCGATTCCGCGATCGCGGTCCTCTCCCGAGCCGAGACCGGCGAGGACGAGCAGGAGATCCATGGTGTCGTCGCACGCGAGATTTCCCACAGTCTTCCCGTCACTCTCGATCGATGACGAAGCGCACGGGGTATTTTTTCTCACATCGCTCGCAAGTCCTTCATCCTCGTCGTCCACTCTGCACATCGTCGCGCGACTTCGTGTTGAGGTCGAGAGAACGCTCCGTCAAAAATAGTAACGCACGTTTCCGATACGCGAGAAAATACCTGTAACTTATGCGACACCAACTCCACTGACGTGATGGCAGAAGAATTTCGTCCTCCACCCTATGTATTGAAAAGCACCGTTGGTCTAGTTGGTTATGACGCTCGCCTAACACGCGAGAGGTCTCCGGTTCGAACCCGGAATGGTGTACACTAACTTTTTGACCATATAATCATCAGAATAAACCCATTACAAAAGTTATCGTTTCCTGTCGCGGTACCTGCCACGCGTCCACCGCTGACTCTGTCGCGGTAACTCCGCTTCCCTCGAGAAACCGCATGCGAGCATAGCGCGCACGTGAACGGTGGTCGCTTTGCGAGTAAAGTGATTTTGTAGCATCTTGCGCACACGCGTCCATCGCCGTCTCCGCGGTAACTTCGTTTCCCTTGCATCTCTCTGTCGCACTCAAGGCACTGAAACTGCGGCTTCTTTGCATACAAAGTGATTTGGTAGCATCTTGCGCACACGCGTCCATGGCCGTCTCCGTGGGAGTAACTTCGCGACTTTCCTTGCGGAAAATCTCTGTCGCACCGTCCGCACGTGAATGCCGGCAAAGTCTTCGTACATCGCGTCTTCTTTCCGAATGTCTCTCTGATCTCGTTCCACGTATACTCGCGGGTGACCTCCCTGTTATGGCACACACCGGGCTGAGAAAAGTTCATTCCGACGACGCCGTCCGCGGTGTGCTCGTGCAAGGTCCCGTAGTGCGCGGTGAATACCGCTTCGACGAAGAATCCGGCGCTCGCAATCGCGCGCGCGACTTCCAAAATCGACGGCGTCGACGCGCACGTTTTCACGTACGTCTTCGCCAACTCGACCGCGCTCGCTTCATCCTGTCCGTGAATGACCCACAAACTGCATTGAAAATCAGCATCAGCATGGTCGTCGTCGCCCTTTTGGGCTCGTCGAACGAGTGCGTGTCCTCGCTGAATGTTGTTCGCGCGCCCGTCGCCGAGCAGCGCCGTCAAGTGCTCGTTGATTCGTCGCTCTACATCGACACTTTCCCCGGTGTACGCGAACACGAGTCCGTCGTCGGTGCGAATTCTGTAGTGATAGCACCCGCGTACGTTCAGATATCGCGCCATCGATCCCGTGGCCGTCTCGACCTTTTCCAAAGCCTGACGCAACTCGAATTCGCTCGCGTCCAGCGCCATCGCCGCGGCGCGAACCGCGTTAAGATTTTGACACGCATACTTTGACTCCGCCGCGTTGAGCGGGGAGGACCACTGTGCGTTTGTTGAACTGGTGGTACGTCGAAATGCACGTTGGTGACACGCTTCATCATCATCTATGTCGACCTTCGGCAGCCCCGTCGCCGCGAACAATGGCGCTCCCATCGCGAGCCAACGCGCGAACCTGTCCGGCGCGCACGCGCTCGGTGAGACGCGCGAGTAAATGTCTGAGATGATGCTCTCGAAATCCACGCCGCGCACCGTCTCATTGTTCATGGTCTTGGCGCACAATTCGGCATTAAACACCTCCAAGGTGACGACCGGTGCTCCTCCGAGTCCGTCCCCGGCGGCGCGTGTGACGTATTTCAACGCGAGCGTCGTCGCCGTCGCGACACCACCAGCGGTATCTTTGGGCGCGTCGTTCTCCACCGGCGCCTCCAATCCGACTCCGCTCGCCGCCTTCGGCGCCGCCTCGTCTCGCCTCGCGGCGTTCGTGACGTCGCCGAGAGCGACGCGTGTCGCCTCCGCCGCGAACGCGACGCGCGCGTTCGCCGCATCCGACTCGGCGTCCGCCTCGGCTTTGGCTTTAGCTTTGGCATCCGCGCCACCGCGACCCCCGACTGGCCAACCAACACGTGCGTTAGCAGCAGATGACGCTTCCACGAATGCCTCACGGTTTCGCTTCCTCAACCCCGCGAATGCGTAGCCGTATCCACCGCGGTATCCCCGCGGCATTGCTCCCGTCCTGCGCGTCCACGGCGGACAGTTAGTTATTAATCCGCCATCGGCGCGCATCGAACGAACGCGTCACCGTCGTCGACGCCGTCGCCCGCGCGCGCGCACCGCGACGTGAAACAAATCGACGCATCCTTGCGCGCGCGCCCGTCGTCATCGCGCGCTCGCGCGCTCCCCGGCGGCGCGATGAACGCGCCACCGGGGAACAGCGCGCGCGCGATGCGATCTCGACCGATCGCCCCCTCTCCGCGCCGCGACTCCGCGTCGCGCCGCGCATCGTCCGCGAACGAGACGTACCTTTATTCCCTCGTCGATGTCGTCGCGCGCGCGCGCACGGAACGTTCGCGTTCGAGTCGAATTCGCGCGCCGCCGTCGCGCGCGATTCCAATTCGAAATCGCGCGCGCGCCGAGTGCCGACGCGACGACGCGTCGTCGTCGTCGCAGGCGTCGCGTCGCGCGCGTCCGCATCGCGTCGCGTTTTTTTTTTTTTTTTTCGCGTCCGCATCGCGTCGCCCCCCGCCGCGACGCGTCGCCACCGGACGCATCGCGGCGGGGTGTGCCGCTCGCCGGTGGCGTTCCTCGACTTTTAGGGTATTTTGTGTTCTAGACCCTAATTCTAGGGGAATTGGGTTCGAAGTTTAGGGTTTAGGGTGAGGCGGGTACGACCGCGGGGCGCGGACGGGATAGAATTACAAGCACGTCTCTCATCGACTCCCCGAATCCGTCGCGCGCGCGGCTGCCGACGTGAACTGGGTCATGAACCGCGCGTCGGCGCGTTTCTCGTCGATACCGCGTTTCTCGTCGACTCTCGATCTCGATTTCTCGTCCATTTCAGTACGCTTCTTCAGCACCTCGTCTCGATCGACTCCCCAAATCTCCACGCGCTCGATCGCGAATCGCCTGGCGCCGTACTAGTTTGTGACGTCATTGATTCACCGTCGGACATCGATCGGTACACGATGTCTTTGGCGATCGATCGGGACATTCGATCGGTCGATCGATCGGTCGATGCCTTTGGCGATCGATCGGTCGATGTCTTTGGCGATCGATCGGTCGATGCCTTTGGCGACAAAAAACACTTAGCATAGAACGCGATTCGCCGTTTCGTTGCTCCATCTATGTTAGAACGAAAATACACTATGCGTAGAACGTGATTCATCCCTTTTTGAACCTGCGTCGAACCGTCGCCAACTGTCTCACGTCGTCACGACACCGACGTCTCGCGGCGCGACATGCTCGGACACATCATCGGAAGGATCCGGCATCGATCACCGAGTACATCTCCGAGTGGCTCGCGGTCACCGGTGGCGAACAGCGACTCGGAGGACGAACCGTGGGACGACGATGATCCTCGACTGAGAATTGTCAATCCGAAGCCTCGAGCAGACATGCTACTCGAGTTCCAGTGGAGCTCGCTTGCACACGAATCGGACGTCGCAGAGCTGCTTCAGCGCATCGGCATCGATATCGCGACCGTCGTGCTCAGGCGGAAGCGGTACACCGCGAGCAGAGCAGAGTGTTTTGACTACAAGTGCAAGGAGCACCATACGTGCGGGTGTCGCTACGCCTTGACGGTGACATTCGATTCGAACGGCTATGGTAACATCAAGTCGATTGAGCGAGAACACAACGCGCATGCGCCGCGAGTTCGCGCACGAGTAACGCCGACTCGAGAGCAGCGGGCATTTCTCGAGAATGCAACTCAACTCGGCGTATTTCCGGTACGTATCGTGGAGCAGATGAGGAACAGGAACATCTTAGGGGACCTGACTCTCAAGCAAGTGCAGCGATTCAAAACGAATCATGCGAAGAAACTCCTCGGCGTCGATGGATTTCATGGGACGACCGGTGAATATGAAGCGCTGTTGGATGCTAACGCGATTGAGCGTGTCTCCGGAAATCGAGCAGGTGTCTTGGACTATGCGGTGACAACGTGTACCTTCCCGGTAGAGATCCAGGCCGTGATTAGCTCGAAGGAGCTCATGAGACGGTTCGCCACAGGCGTCGGATTCGGTGTTTCGACGCTCGCGATCGACGGTACCTATAAGCTGAACAAGGAGAAGCATGTCATTCTCGTGTGGGGCTCGCACAACTTCCACCAACAGTTTGCCCTGGGTGGTTTTGCGATCGTGCCGTCGGAATCGACCGAGCACTACGAGTGGACGTTTAATGCTATCTTCAAATATGCATCAAAGTATACCCCTACCGAGATGAACCGCCTGCTCCCCGACCACGACAAGCACGTGTGGCTGATGGGCGATGGCGCCGCTAGCATCTCCGCAGGTGCACGAAACAGCTGCAAGAAGCACAAGAAAACATATAATCGCGGAGTCTGCTGGTTTCATGTTATGAAAGCAGTTCGAGATAATGCCGCAAAAGTGAGCGATCCAGGCAACTTCGCCGAAATCAAAGCCGACATATGGGATCTCCATGGAATCCCGTACCCATGCGCTGAGTTCAAAAAAACATGCGAGCGCATGTTTGTGGTCAAGTGGGAATCTCGACGCGAAAGCTGCTTCGCGGAGTATTTCAACGATACCTGGGCAGGGACAGGCTACTCGTTCTGCGACTCGTTACCGGGGTTAGTCACGAGTAACAACTGCGTCGAGAATTTCAATCGCCAAGTCAAGGACGAGTTCGCTCGAAAGATTCCTCATCTCCACGAGACGATCGCTCACCTTGCGAAGATCACTGAGCGAGAGCTCATCGATCGCATGCCGAATTGGGATACGACATATCCCACAATGAACCCAGCCGACTGGGATGCCACAGACAAGTTCATGCGGGAACACGTGAATAAGCATCCAGAACGCATCCCCATCGACTCACAGCTCACCTTGTACGTGCGCGCTGATGTCATGCTTCACACAAAGAGGCTCTCGCAAGAACTATGTCCCGCGGGGAGCGATGCTGAACGCGCCGTCGTGCGCACCCAACTCCTTCACGAAGCAGCGACGAAGTTCGCCACTTTCTATCGAGACAGCATGCTCGGCGGCGTACTCGAGCCGGGCACCGACTTCGACACCGCCATGCGGCAATCGACTCTGTTCTACGCCGTGACCCCGCTACCGAACGCAGAGTCAAACGCATACGTCAAGTTTTCGTGCACCTGCGTCGGGGACAAGAATAATCGAGGCTATCAGTACTCGCGAAAGTGTAAACACGTGTTCGCAGAAGGCTTCATCACCAAAACCATCGACACGCTCCCCTACGGGTTCAACCCCGTTGATACGGCGCCTAGGCCCGGTCGAGGCGCCGCAATGCGCCCCGCGCTGACGCATCAACCGACAACGGGCGAACGGCTTCGCTCGATCGGCTTACCAGAGAACTACCGACTGTCCTGAAGAAGAGGGGAAAGAATCCAGCTCTTGGACGGGCCGGGATACCCGCTGAGCTCTCGCGCTACGACGACGCGGCGGTCAAGAGACCGCGCATGAAGCGCGCGTGGACTCCAATTTTGTAAATAATGACCCCAGGGCCGATCCTTCGTCCACCGCGCGCGGCGTCGCGCGCTGACGTCCACCGGACGTGGTCGGACATCGAGTCGTCGATGTCCGCCTATGGGCAAACAGTACGTATCCGCTACGTTCTACCATGGGCATCCCACGTTCTACCATGGGCATCCCACGTTCTAAGCATAGGTGCCCTACGTTCTAACCATAGGTGCCCTACGTCTCATGCTAAGTGGTCCGCCGTATCGATCGGTATCGATCGGTGTGTCGGTGTCCGTCGGTGTCGGTCGATCGCGGCGCGCGCGGGGGCGTCGACGCCAGCGTCGCGCGGGATGCCGTCCGGTGCCGCGCGACGAAAACGAAAGAGAGAGAATGAAAAGACGAGGGCGTGGGAACGACTCGACGCCCTCGACGGCGACGTCGAGGCGTACGAGAAGACGTTAGAGCTCGAGGCGACGGCGCGAAGACGAGAGGCGGCGGCGACGAGACGATTGGCGGACGTCGAGCGATTGAACGCGAGCGCTCTGCGCGGTGGGGACGGGAGAACGGATGAACGACGGAACCAGGGCACCGCCGCGGGGTCGTTGGGATTGGCGAACGCGACGAGAATCGCCGTTCGCGTGGCAAGAGACTCTCCGCACGCGCTGGAGATGCTGTGCTGCGCGACGAGCGACGGCGACTGCGTCTTCGCGTGCGCGCAGCCGAAATCTTGGGGACGACGAGGTGTTGAAATCATTTTCAAAGAGCTCGGTTTCGACGTCATCGAGTACGACGAAGTGACACTGAGCAAGGCGCCGGGTTTGACCGCGTGCGTCGTTCGCCTGCGGGCGGAACCTTCGACAAAGAAAAAGTCGAAGAATGACGGAGGCAGCGCCGCGGAGACGCTCTTAGCGCGCGCAGAGGCGCTGATAGAACCAATCCAAGCCCCGAACCTGACAGATGGCGAGGAAGATGCGAGTTTGGGAGGTCTCGGCGCGTGGGTCGGCGCGCACCGCAGACGGCGCGCGGGAGGCGCGAAGGCAGTTTCGTCCGGTATCGACGCCTGGTTCGAGAAGAAAGAGGCCGAAGAAGATGCGGCACGAGAAGCTATAAATGCGGCAAAAGCAGACGATGGGTGGACGGTGGTTCAGGCGAAGAGAGGACGCAAGAAGACGACGGCGGATGACGAAACGGGCACTACGGTGGGCGGTATTCGAGCCGCGACGGCGGATGGCAGGAGGAAAGAGGTCAAGAAGATTGCGAACGAACAGTTTTATAGGTTTCAGACAAAAGAAAAGAGACGTTCTGAGATCATGGAGCTTCAGGCGAAGTTCGAGGAGGATAAACAACGCATTGCTCGGCTCAAAGCGGCGCGCAAGTTTAAGCCATTGTAGCATCTCATCATAGAGGCAATGTTTGTGATAGATCATCTCTTGGTAGGCTATTTTCTGCATAAAAATCGAACGTGAATCGCCTAGTGCCCGTGTCCGTGGGAATGTTTCTCTTCGTGTCCGTGTCCGTGGGAATGTTTCTCTTCGTGCCCGTGTCCGTGGGAATGTTTCTCTTCGTGTCCGTGTCCGTGGGAATGTTTCTCTTCGTGCCCGTGCCCGTGGGAATGCTTTTCCTCGTGCCCGTGTCCGTGGGAATGTTTCTCTTCGTGCCCGTGACCATGACACTCCTCGCCATCGCCGTGACTATGCTCACACTTGGCCTTTTTATCATCGTGCGAGTGTCCGTGCGAGTGGTGCGTTCCGTCGCACGGGACGCCGTCGTGCGAATGCCCGTGATGCTCAGGTTCCGCATTCTCAACCTTCGGCTTCTCCTTCATCACCACCTCGCCCTCGTTCGACATTTCGCTCGATACTTTCACCGTGAGCGTGTAAGTCGTCATCTCTCCGCTCGAGGACTCGACGACGATTGACACGGGTCCGCTCGCCGGTCGCGTCGCCATGTTCCCCGTGACGCCGTCGATTGAGATCTTACACCCAGGAACGAGCGTGCTCGCCATGACGTTCACGTGCGTCGCCTTGGACGCGATCATGACGTCATATGCGACGTGCGCGCCCGTGAATTTGGGATCGATCGTCGCCGCGAGCTTGACGAAACCCTTTGAGTTTTGGTCGTCGAGCGTTTCCGACGCGTCGTCCAGAGGACGCCTGGCGTCCACCTTGAGAAACGCGAGCGTGGGAGGAGACATCGCGCGTGCGGGGTCTGTGTTCGGACGAACGATGCGATTCGTTCGCGCGTCGTCGATCGTCGACCGTCAGCCGAGACGCGTCGGAGTGTGCGGCGCGCGAGCGCCCGTCTCGCGCGTGGAAGGCCTGGATACTTAGAGAAGAAGGTTTGATTAAATGGATGCACCATCGAGACAGCTACGTCGACGCCGCGGTTAGAGGAAATCCATGAACGCATCGTTCTCTTCCTCGGCCTTCTCCTCCCCAAAGTTCAACGCGGTGAACATGAAATCCGCCTTGCCGCCCGGGACGATGAGGCCCTTGAACGTTTGCTTGCCCCTGAGGAGCTTGTTCAACGCGAAGTGCTGCTCGTCGCCCAACTTTTGGTCGCCCATGTAGAAAACGGCGGAGACCTTGTCGTTTTCATAGTCATCGACGCAGAAGACGAACTCTTCCTCCCACGTCGGATCGAGACCCGGGAGCGTGGCGCTCTCGTACTTTTGATCCTTGTACGTCAAGACAACCTTGCACGTGGGCTTCTCGATGCCGTAAAACTTGAGGTCGATCTTCTTGACGTTGCAGCAGTTGACCTCGACGCGGAGTTCGTGCGGGCCGGAGCCGAGCTTCTTCAAGTCTGTCATCGCGGGAGAGCGAGAAATTCGTCAGTCCTTCGTTCGAGTCGAGTCTGTCTTTGGATAAAAGCCGTGACGATGCGATCGATCGGAGTCATCATCCAACCTTTGTCGCCCGTCCCGTTCGCGACGCGCGAGGACGCGCGCGCGCGCGAGGACGCGCGCGAGGGCTTCATCGAGGCGTCCGATCCCACGGTCGCATCGCGAGATTGTCGCTCAAAAGTAAATCGTACCGGACATGGGAATCGCGAGACGTCGAGCGAGGTGTGAGCCCGCCGCCGTCGGCGGCCGTGAGACCATCGACGGTCGATCGTCGCGGTCGGTCGTCGCGGTCGGTCGTCGCGGTCGTGTCAACGAGGGATTCTCCATGGGCCTCATGTGTTGTTCAATATGTACGATTTGGATATAAATCACTCAGGACCACATCCTTGACTGGTGACTCGTGACTCGTGACTCGTGCCCCGACGACGCGTCCGTCTCGACGCCCGCGCGCGACGCCAACGCGCGCGACGGCCGATCCGCCTTTCCGAGGAGCGTCGAGGAGCTAACATGGTGCGTCGACGTCGATGAAGGCGACCGTACGCGAGAATGCTCGATCGCACGCGTCGCGCGACGCTCTATGCGATCGCGACGTCGCGCGAGGACGCGAACGAGGCGTCGATCGTCGACGATGTGTTTGACCCTAACGCGGCGACCGCTTCGGCGCGTCGCCCGCGGTCATCGACGAACGCGCGCGATTGGAGCGGTGACGAGCGAGGAGAAGATAATATTACATTCATGCAGACACTAACCGCACGCGCGCTCGCGCACGTCCGAACGCAGGTGCTCGCGCAAGACATCGATCTCCTGAACCCGCCCGCCGCGCTCGAGGCGGGCAAGCACAAGCTCAAGCGATTGGTTCAATCGCCGAACTCGTTCTTCATGGACGTCAAGTGCCAGGGTTGCTTCAATATCACTACGGTGTTCTCGCACTCTCAAACTGTCGTTCTCTGCGGCTCGTGCTCGGCGGTGCTCTGCCAGCCGACTGGTGGTAAGGCCCGACTCACCGAGGGTTGCTCGTTCCGACGCAAGGGCGATTAATTCGTCGCTGCTGCCGTCGTAGAGGCCATGCATTCGTAGTCGTAGATTGATGAGCGGTTTAGGGTCTGTCGCCCGTTTAGCGTGCAAGGGGCAGACGTGGGAGAACATTGAGGCGCGAAGTTGTAACGAAAATTTTCGCGTACTGGTTAACAACTGTGCAAACAAGTCGGTTACAATCCATCCTTGACGCTACGACGGGGACTATTCGTTCGAATGCGGTGACTTGACTATAACGCTCTATCGAATCTCCTCACGCCCCGCCGCCACCCGCCTTTTTGGCTTGTTCACGTTTCTTCTCGCGAAGTTTGTTGATGTTGTACAGAAACACGGACAAGAAGGCAATAACGTAGCCAACGTAGTTCAGGAACGTTACCTTGTTCCCGAAGAAGTGTTGCGACGCGAAGATGAGCATCCAATCCTTGATCACGCCAGCGATGTTCATCGTAAGGGCACTCGTCTTCCCTATGAGTAAGAAGACCGCCAAGTTGAGCGCAAAGGCGCACAGCGCGTTGAAGATGAGCATGTTCCAGTCAAACACGAGCGCCGCGTCAGCCATCATGGCGGGATACTCGACAAAAATCAATGGGAAGAAGAGGAAGAACGCACACGCCGGAGAGACGTAGTACAGAGACTGCAGTGGATTCATCGCCATGCCCTGACGGGTGATCAATATTTGCACCAGCATCAGGCGCACCGCCTCGAAGAGCAGCGCGCTGAGCTGCTGCGTCACCCCGAGCGTGTCAAAATTCAACTCGCCGTACGCCGCGATGGCAACACCGATGGCGATGATGATCATGTTCATCGATGTGCTCACGCTGAACTTTTCCATCCTACAAAAAACACCCACTATGTATACCAACCCGGGCATGAGCGCCTTCGTCATCTGAATGAACGACACGCTAAGGTGCAGGTACGCCGAATTACTCAACCAGAGTGACGCGGCGTAGAAGAATCCAATCGGCATCACTCGTCTCATGTATTCTCTCTTCGTCATCTTCAACCTCGTCGTGACTTTGAAGACTCGAACGAGGACGGTGACGACGCTGGTGCAGAACACCATGTGCCACATCGTCAACGCAACCGGGTACCCGAACCCACTGTACGCCAGGATCCACTTGTTAAACATGATCACAGCCATGGATATGGACATCCACACCGCGACAAAGAAGTAGGCGCGCATGCACGACCGCGCGATCGAGTTCTCCCTCTGTTGTGTTTTGACACCGTTCGCGGATGAATCTTGTCGGAACACCGACGGCGAGGCCTTGTCGCTCGACGCGGCGCCCTCGGTGGGCGACTGCACGAGGACGGATCGCATGGTGGTGCGAACGCGTTTAAGCGATCGATCGAGTCGCGATCTCACGCCTCCGACGCCCGTCTCGTCTCGTGAAGAATCAACAGCGTCCCGGCCCGATCATCGGCGCCTCACTGGTTTGTGTGTGCGCGCGCGCGTGGCGGTCACGCCGCTTCGAGCGCCGCACGCGGCGACGCGCATGCTCGCGCGTCGAGCGTTCGACGGGTTGAGACGAACGCGAATCACCGCGCGTCGTTCGATCGCGTTAAACATGAAAGACGTCGGTGAGGACGGAAACTCGACCTCGGTTCCGTGGTGGAGACGGTCGAGCGTGATTGCGACGAGAGCGACGTCTTCGAATGCGACGCCGAGCGCGCAGGACGAGAAGATCGCCACGGAGGCGACATCGAGGGCGCAGGCATCCGTGTTAGCCACGTTCGCGAGCTGGTTCGCCAATCGCTCGGGGACGATACATCCCGCGGTGAAGATGACGTATCGCCCGCAGAGCGGGTGGTTGCTCGAGGCGAATGAAAACATCCAGGCGAACGAGCGCTTGGTTTTTCTGCCTTCCACCTTAATGCTAAGATGTGACGGAGAAAACATAAGTGAAGCGCTCCGAAGGGTCATCGAGGGCGTTCCGGGGGAGTTCTGGAGCTCCAAGCTGGGACTCGTGCTCCTACGCGAGCGCGTTGCGGGTCAGCACTCCGCCTTCGCGCCATACGTGAACCTTTTGCCGTCCGTGCACGAGGGATCACCGACATTTTTTCAACCCGAGGCGATTCAAGAGTTACAATACGCGCCGTTGGTGGCGCAGGTGAACAAGCGCGCACGTTTTCTGGCCAGCTTTTTCCGAGCTGCTGGCGGCGCCATGACGGTGGATGACGGCGAAGCGTATGTCAACGAGAGTCATCCTGAACGCCGACGCGTCGAGATGACGATTGACGCCAACGCGTTGGGTTGGGCGACTGTATGCGCTAGCAGCAGAGCGTTTCGGGTCGAAAAATCTTCCATGCCGACATTACTACCAGTGATCGACGTTTGCAACCACTCGTTTGACGCTTCGGCTCGCGTGCGCGAGTGTGAAAACGGCGTGGAGTTGGTGACGACGAGAGATCTCAAGGCTGGCCAGCCGATAGAACTCTGCTACGGTGAATTATCGAACGACGAGCTGTTCCTAGACTACGGCTTCATCGTCGAAGACAACGCCTTCGATACGGTAAAACTTCGATGGGATCTCAAACTGATCGAGTTGGCGAGAGAAATTGGTGGATTGGCAACCGCTCCTATAGGTGCCGCCGCGGCGGTAGATGACGAACACGGATCTAGTACTAGTATCGATGACGTGGTATTGCTTGCCCCGTTTCAGAAACAAGCGTTGGAGCGCATCGGTCTCAGTGCAGACGGTGGCGGCAACGTCGAACTGAATATTCGCGCGAGCGGAGACGTCATGGACAAGAAAGCGCTCGCTGGTTTGCGCGTCTTATACTCTAAGACGGCTGCCGAGGCGTCGCGAGCGGCCGACGCGCCGTACGGCGAGATCGGTGCGCGCGTTGTCTCGACGGATGTCGAAATCAAAGCTCTTCGAACGTCCATGGCGCTCGCAGCGTTGGCGCTTGGGAATTTTCCAACCACTCTAGCCGAGGACCGCGAGTCTCTGCGCGACGGCTCTGTCGCGTCGCCCCAGGCGCGACTAGCGGTGAGGTATCGCGTGGAGAAGAAGAAGATATTAATCGCGTGCATGGCTCGCCTGAACGCCTCGATCGAGGATGCACTTAGAGAGTAGTAGTGAAAGCATGGTCCCAACCGAAACCTCTTGGGCCTTTTTCCCGCTCAAATAATTCGTCATCCTCGTCACTTCTCGTCACCGAATTGACACAATTCAAGATGAAGTACACCGTCACCGCCGACGCGGAGGCCGAGATCTCGCTCGAGGGCGAGCACGAGCACGCGAAAGCGACTCCGCGAACCGTGGTGGAGGTGCGTCGAGGCGATGCGTACCCGATGGATGACGAAACACGACCGCGAACACGACCGATCGCCACGATGGGCCCCTTTCGGATTATTCTCAACACCTCGTTGCCTGCGCGTTCGCGATCGCTACGGACGACGGGCGAGGCGAACGACGACTAACGGTCGTGTTCTCACGTATCGCTCGTAGGTCTTCAAGGCTGCCGCCGAGTCCAAGCTCGCAGATACCACCGCTCTGGTGTCGTGCACGGGTGAAAAGCACACGGTGAAGGAGTATTACAATTCTTGTCGCGACGCTGCGAAGAGTTTCATTCACCTGGGGCTCGAACGATTTGAATCCGTGTGCATCTTGGGTTTTAACTCGCCGGAATGGCTTATGTCCAACAACGGCGCAATCTTAGCGGGTGGTTTTGCCGCAGGCATCTACACGACGAACGAACCGCCCGCATGCGAGTTCATCATCCAAGACTCGAGTGCACGCGTGGTCGTCGTCGATGGTCAAAAACAATTGGATAAACTTATCGCGATTCGCAAACGTTTACCGAAGCTCAAGGCGATCGTCATGTACCGTGATGAGACGTTCAGTGACCCTGAGGGCGAGAAGGACTCTTCCCTCGCGAAGGTGTACACGTGGAAGGATTTCATGAAGTTGGGCGCGAGCGTGAGCGACAAAGTCCTTGAGGCGCGCATGAACGCACAAAAGCCCGGTCATTGCTGTACGCTCATTTACACGTCCGGCACTACGGGTAACCCGAAAGGTGTCATGATTTCGCACGACAACGCTGTGTGGACCGCGAAGGCGAACATTCTGCACAACCCGACAATCACCGCCGGACCGCTTCGTGTCGTGTCATACTTGCCGCTCTCCCACATTGCGGCGCAAATCGTGGACATTCACTCGCCCTTGATTTGTATGGTTGATTTCGAGAGATCGGCTTCGGTGCACTTCGCGCGTCCGGACGCGCTGAAGGGCACGCTCAAGGAAACGCTCATCGAAGCTCGACCGACCGTGTTCTTTGCCGTGCCGCGCGTGTGGGAAAAGTTCGCCGAAGCCATGCAAGCAGCGGGGAAGAACGTCACTGGCCTTAAGAAGACGATCTCAACCTTCATGAAGGGCAAATGCTCGGTCGAATACGAGGCTTCTCAAATCGGCGCCACGACAGGACATCCTTTCCTTGGTGGTTTCGCAAAGTCGTTCATGCGCAAAAAAGCGCACTCTCGCATCGGTCTCGATCAAGCGCGCGTCTGCCTCACGGGTGCCGCGCCGATCATGAAGCACACACTCGATTACTTCGGTTCCATCGGTATTCACATTCTTGAGGTTTACGGCATGTCCGAAAACACCGGTCCGCAAAACGTGTGCAAGCCCGATTACTTCAAGGCTGGAACGTGCGGCTTGACGATTCCGGGTACGGAGGTCAAACTTGATCACGTCAAGGGACGGGATAAGGAAGGCGAAGGGGAGATTTGCTTCAGAGGACGTCACATCATGATGGGCTACCTCAACAACATGGCCAAGACGCAAGAGAGCATCGACCAAGACGGTTGGTTGCACAGCGGCGACGTTGGCTACATCGATCCAAAGACCAACTTGCTGTCAATCACCGGTCGCATCAAGGAGCTCATCATCACTGCGGGCGGTGAAAACATCGCTCCCGTGCCGGTGGAAGACGCCATCAAGTCTTTTTGCCCGGCTATCTCGAACATCATGATGATTGGCGACAAGCGCAAGTATAACACGGCGCTCATCACCCTTCGTCAAGTTCCTGACGGCGAAGGATTCACTGAGAAGCTCTTCGGTACATCTCTCGAAGTGAACCCGAGCGTGACGACTGTCAAGGAGGCTCAAAAGGACTCGAAGTGGGCAGCTTACATTCAAGAGGGCATCGACAAGTACAACAAGACCGCTGTTTCGAATGCGCAACGTATTCAAAAATTCAAGATTCTCGACACCGATTTCAGCGTCCCAGGCGGTGAACTTACAGGCACTCAGAAGCTCAAGCGCAACGTCGTGACCGAAAAGTACGCTTCCGTGATCGAGTCCATGTACTAGATACATCCTTTTAATAAAGACCAACAATGTGATCTATTGCATGACGCCAAGCTTGTCTGCGCGATTGCTTTGCAGGCGTAGACGGCAGCGCTCATGTATTTTAGGAGAAACCGCGGGTAATCAATCTGCAACTTGCGCCAACCGACGATGTATTTTGCATCACTTCGCATCGGCCTGATCATGGACTAGTTACGATAAAATGCGTATTTTGATTACTGAAATGACGACAACATACAAGTACAGGTACCGGTTCCGCATGAAAACAACGTCGATTCAGGCTAGAGTTGTGCCATCGCAGAAATCATGCTCACTGTGCGTGACTGTTCGTCCTGATTCAACACTAATGTCTGTCTTGGTTTGAGCTCGTCGACTATTGTCTCGACCGATTCGACCGCCGTATCACACTTATATTGCAGTGACGACGTCTCCTCAGCGAGTGCCAAGAAGTCTCTGACGATCTCGCCCGCGTTTGGCACCAACCACAACGGCATCAAGGCCGGCGGTTTGTTTTTCCCATTCTTCGCGTCCTTAATATCTCGCTCGTCCGGAATGGTGATATTAACGCACGAGTACGGTAGCTCATGCAGCGCATGTTCGCCTCCACCGCCGTACGAATCGATGAACACGGTGAGATGTGTCATTGAAGGCAGCGCTTGGATGAGCGCCTCTCTGAGTTCTCGTCGTGTGATCCTGTTCGTACTCGGGTCGATCGGCGTGTCCGAAGCGCACAGTGCCGTTTTATCTAGACCCTTACGGCTCTTATCAACGATGTCCTCCACCTCAAACGCTCGACCCGAAAAGTAAAAAAAGAGCGAATCGCCCTCTTTGACGTCGGACGTGAGCCATCTACATGCCTTTAAAATCGCCCTCTTCGTGCACGTGCGATTAATGGATGCATCTTGCACGTTCACTTCGGCGTCGTCAAGGAGGACCATCATCTCGTCGTCGTCGTCGTATCCGCAGTAATTCTTGAGATATTCTCGCATGCGAATCGCGTCTTGTCCTCGTCGACGCAGTCGCCATGAGTCCGTGGCACACTCTTCGTAGTTCACGCCGATGAATACGCCTCGCTTTCGGCCCACAGTTCGCGCCGGGCGAGAAAACGTCGCGCGTTCCGTTTCTAGCTGCACCTCTCTCGTCGAGGACACGCGGATCGAGCTCGATGTCCCCGGAGGGAGTCGCTGCATAGCTCTTTGCACGCGCCGCAGAGTCGTCGCCCACGTCGCCGTCGAAGGCGTCCCGTCTCGACGCACGAGTTCGTTCAGCGTCGCCCGCGTGAGCACCCCGCCCGTCTTCGCGCACTCTCTCATGCGTTCGTATCGCCGCGTCGCCATGAATATCCGTCGTTCCTGCGCGTCGTCGTCGCTCTCGTCACCGTCCTCGACCGTTGCCACCGACGCGCGCTTGGACGCCTCGTACGCGCGCGCGTCGAGGTACGACGCCGATCGATCCCTCGACGCGGCGATGAGCAACACCGTCCCCGGATCACCGAGAGCGGTCGTCTCCATCGGTGACGGGGGCGACGCGCGCGCGGTGTGACGCACGCCATGGACGGATGCGAGCGTCGACGACGACAACGTCCGCATCGTCGACGTCTCGACATCGCGTCGCCGACGAGCGATCGAGCGTGACGACGAAGACACCGCGCGCGATGGATGAGCTCGATCGCGGTCGCGTCGATCGGGACGACGCGAGCGGGCTCCCGTCGTCGTCGACACCCCTCGGCGCTCAAAAAGATGACGGACTCGGAGCGCACGAGAGCGTGAGCGAGATCGTGAGCGAGGTGTTTTCGGGATACGCGTGCCACTCCATCGAGGTAGGACGACGACGCGTGGGAGGATGTGTGTTCTCACGACGCCCTCGCGTCCTCACGAGCGTCTCAGACGGCGCGGGGAAGGCGATCGGGGAGAGACGGAACGGCTTTGAAGGCTTTCAAAGCGCGACGACTGACGCCGTTTCTCCGTGACGCACAGAGAGGGATCGAGCACCCAGGAGACATCGCGGAGGCGGCATCACTAGGATCGATCGATTTACCGCCGGCTAAATATCCGCTCTTCGACGCCATCCGCGACGAGCTCGTGGACACGGGAAAGCTCAGCAAGCTCCAGTTGGAGGGCATCTTGTTCGCTTGTCAGAAGCACTGCGAATTTGCACCGGACGGTAAGCGTGCGGGATTCATGATTGGTGACGGCGCCGGAGTGGGGAAAGGACGACAAATCAGCGGGATCATAATCGATAACTTCGTGAGAGGGCGACGGAAAGCAGTTTGGATTTCAAGCAGCGGCGACTTGCATCGCGACGCGGAACGTGACTTGGGCGATTTAGGTTGCACGATCAAGGTGATCAACAGTTGCCCAGAAATTGATCGCGAGACTCGTGCTTTCGGACTGTCGAAGGACTATCAAGAGGGCGTTCTTTTCACCACGTATAGCACGCTCGTAAGCAAGACGCAAAAGAAGAATCGATTAGAACAAATCATCGAGTGGTTTGGCGGCGAAAACGCTGACGGAGTGGTGATTTTTGACGAGTGCCATAAGGCGAAGAATTTCAGTGCGGCCGCGGATACAGGGAGCAAAGTCGCCTCGGCGGTGATTACATTCCAGGATCGATGTCCTCTCGCTCGTGTGGTTTATGCGAGCGCCACAGGAATCAGTGAAGTTGGAAACATGACGTATCTCTCTCGTTTGGGCTTCTGGGGCAAGGGAACGCCATTTAAATCCGCCGATAGATTCATCGAGAGCATGAAATCGCGCGGGGTCGGCTTTTTGGAGATGCTTGCCATGGAAATGAAAGCCAGTGGCAAGTACGTGAGTCGCGGATTATCATTTCGACAGGCTGAGTTTGAACAACACACCATTAAGCTATCAAAGGAACAACGGAAGATGTACAACGATGCGTGCGATTTGCTCTCTCTTATTCGAGGCGCGTGCGTCGAGGCCGTGAATCGAACAGGGAGCGATAGAAAGAGCATCATGGGGGCGTACTGGAGCGTGCACCAGCGCTTCTTCAAGTTGCTCTGCATTAGTATGAAGGTTCCCAACGTCATCGCCAAGGCGAACGAGGCTCTCGCACAGGGAAACTGCGTCGTCATAGGATTGCAAACAACCGGCGAAGCACAAGACAGTTCGGCCGATTTGAAGTTTGGTGACGACGTGACCAAGTGGGGATTCGTGAGCACGACGCGTGAGATGCTCGTCAGCTTCTTGCACGTGCACTTCCCAACGGAGATTCGGGGAGCTTCTGATGGGGCGGCAGTGGAAAACAAGGCACCACCGCCCGACTGGACAGCGGATAATTGGAAACGAGCGGGCGGCGGCGAGAGTACCCGCGATGGAGAGTACGCGGGGCGATTCCATACGGACGCACCGCCGTTGGTAGATGAAGAGCTCGCTGATGCGAAGGAAGAACTGATAAAGAAGGTCATCAACCTTGATCTCCCGCCAAACTTTCTTGATGCACTCATCGATGGATTCGGTGGTCCTGATCAAGTCGCAGAACTCACGGGTAGGAGCGGCCGCATCGTTCGACGCGGATCAAAGTTATTGTACGAAGCCCGCGGTACGACAGCCTCGAGGAAAGGTTCGTCCATCAGCGGCGATGGTGACGTTCTGGGCGTCAACATCGCTGAAAAGAATGCGTTCATGAGTGGCGAGAAGCTTGTCGCGATCATTTCCGACGCGGCGAGTACAGGTATCTCTTTACACGCCTCGAAAGGCGCGGCGAATGTTCGACGGCGCGTGCATATCACGATCGAGCTTCCGTGGAGTGCGGACAAGGCTATTCAGCAGCTTGGTCGCACGCATCGCTCGAATCAGGTCACTGGACCAGTGTACGTCATGTGCTCGACGAACATCGGAGGAGAACGACGCTTCGTTGCCGCGGTCGCTCGTCGTCTGCAAAGTCTCGGCGCGTTGACTCGTGGCGATAGAAGAGCTGCGACGGGGATCGATCTATCTGATGGAAATGTCGATTCGTCGCTAGGACGTGAAGCGTTGAAGAAAGTGTACGAATCGCTCGTCGCTTTGGATTCAAAATTACCATCTGGCGTCTCGTTTGAGGGTATCATGGCGCACGTGAACGAAGACGATCTCGAGGAGGGCAAACCCATACGGAACTGGGATGACTTGAAGCTGAGTCTTCGATCCGCGCTGCTCGAGCTCGGAGTGCAGGTGGGGTTGCGAAACGAAGGGTTCTCTGTAGAAGAAGTGTCCTTACTGCAGGAAATCGGCTACGGCAATAAGGATCTAGGAGACGTGCGCAGATTCCTGAATAGGCTTCTTGGTTTGCGATTGCGCGAACAAAATCTGATGTTTGCATATTTCGCCGAGACGTTGGATTGCCAAATCAAGCTCGCCAAAGCCGAGGGCAAGTATACCGAGGGAGTAAGCGATCTCGGAGGGTCGTCGATACGCATCGCAGAAGAATCGAACGTGATTCTGAAGGATCCATATCACGGTCAAACGCTCGTTTCTACGAAGATTTTCATTGATCGAGGTATTTCATTCGAACGCGCGCTTGCGATTTTGCAGAAGGGCAAAAGAACTGATCGTGATGGCTTTTACAAGATGAAGCGTGAAATGTACGGTCGTGCGCAAGTCGTCTTGGCGATAAGCAAACCTGGTTCAAGGAATCTATTCATGTTGTGGCGCCCTAATACCGGACCGAGCTTGTTTGAGATGGAGTATGACGAACTTCGACAGAAGTACAAGATTTGTGACTTGGAAAGTGCGAAACAACCTTGGAAAGACGTGTACGAGGTGACCGAGACGTCTTGCATGCACGGAAAGAATTGCCACGTGCGACAGACCATGGGCGAGTGCACTGCGGGTAAGCGAACTGTGGATTGTACCGTGATCAGCGGTGCCGTTGTGCCGTGCTGGGGAGAGTTGGAGCGCACGTTGGATCGTAACGCGCACAAATTCAACAAGGCTGATCGAGGCATGCGAACGGTTCGAGTGATAGATGAAGATGGGCGCAAAGTGATTGGTTTGCGGTATCCCGAATCGCTCCTCGCGAACGTCAAAGAGCAAGTAGAAATTCAGTGGGCTGAGAAGTTTTCAAACTTGGAAAACTTGAAGCTTCTCGACGGCGATGGTGATGACGCTCTGACTGCCGTTTTAGGGGTCACTGTCGAGCCGCCAACTCCTGTCGACGCGGCGTCCATGGCAAAGTGCTTCCGCAAGGTAAAGACGATGAAGGACTTCTTCGGCGCGGCAACGACGAAGACAGACAATGCTTTGAATGTTCCGAAAAGGCCCGCGGGTCCTGTCGCGGAGAGCACGCTCGCGCACAAAAAGGCCAAGCCTGCACCGAACGCGTTCTTCGATCTTACGCGCACCTGATTGTTTGACTCAAGGCGAGCCGTTGTGAAACACGAGAAGAGAAGCACCGTCGATCGAAATTACGCTCGGCGTCGTCGCGCGACGCCGACGACCCATCGCACGCACGCGGGTGAAGAAGTGCAAAAGTGCCCGCAAGTGAGAGAAAAATACCCATAACTCGACATATTTCCGTGAAACTGTTTTTCTTTGCGAAGTGCTCGATTCGTTGTAATAAGCACATGCGCGCAGAATTCGATGACGCTACCTAACGAATAATTTTTGCTTTTGCGCGCGGAAAAATACCTGTAACAATGTGGTAACCATGTTCCAGAACCCCGCGAAGGTGGACAAAATCTTCAAGTGTGTGATCCACACGAAGCTATCATGATACGGCGTCCGTGTCGCGATGCCGGTGAAAATGGCGGTAGAAGTCATCGACAGCGTCGAGAAACAAGTCCAATTTTTAGGGTATTTTATTGTACATTTTCTAAACCCTAATTCTATAGGGGTATGTCCTGTCCACGGTGTGTCTGTCTCTTTTCGTGGTGGTGTTGCTCTCGGTTTAGGATCCTCCTGTATGTTCTAGACCCTAATTCTAGGGGAATTGGGTTCGAGGTTTAGGGTTCTAGGGTTTAGGGTTTAGGGTTTAGGGTTTAGGGTTTAGGGTTTAGGGTTTAGGGTTTAGGGTTTAGGGTTTAGGGTTTAGGGTTTAGGGTTTAGGGTTTAGGGTTTAGGGTTTAGGGTTTAGGGTTTAGGGTTTAGGGTTTAGGGTTTAGGGTTTAGGGTTTAGGGTTTAG